GGGAATCTGGGCCAGCTTTACAGACTTCAGAGATACGAGCTTGCGGTACCTTGAATTCGAAGATTCCACATAACCACTTCCCTGAAAAAGAAATCGTGGCTCACAGGAACTCTTATTGTAGCATTCGATTGTGATGTGTGCCTGCTTATGATAGAGACACTTGTACCATGCAGGAAGTTTTTGCTGAACTGCATCGAAATATTTGTCTTCAAACATAGATCTTCTTCTCAGAAATGTTTGGGAGGTTGACGAGCGTCTCATGAGGAATAACTCGTCATTCATTTTCTCATTCCATTCCTTTTTTGCATTTTTGCCACATACGCCCAGACATTTTTCAGTTGATTCTGATTCAAATGCCACTCATCAAGCGTTATATAGGTTGAGGGGAACACAATTGCGCAGGCCTGCATACAGGCAGCCTGTTGATCGAGCGCTATCATAGCTGGATCTATGCAACAAAATTCCTTAAAACACATCAACAGCCACATAAATGTATCTTCGATCTCATCAGCAAGAAAACCAATGAACACTGTACATTCTTTGCCGTCCTTTGTTCTGGCACGTATTGTGACAAGCTGCATTGAATAAGAATTCGCATTCGATTTACAGTCTATGCAGATCCCCGGCAGAATACCAAACTTCTCATAGTCGCTTTTCCATTCGGAAAAGCCCCAGCAAATAGACTGTAAAGCATCATCTTGTGTAGTTCTCAGATATGCACGGCTTCCTAAATCTTTGTTTCTGATTTCCATTAAGGTTTGAACAAGGTCGTTACATTCCAATTCTTTTGGCGATCTCTTCGTCTGAAGCCACTTTATTCTCCGTTGTAAACCTCTCCGATCCATCAAAAAACCATATTTGTCTTCCAAAAAACGTGCAACATCCTCAAACTTAATAAGACTTCGATTGTGCATATCATCCACATCCTTGATTACCGCCGTTGGCAGTATCCTGCGTATATCAGACATATCTGGAGCGTGTTGATGCTCTGTACCTGGCGGGTGAAAGACATATTTGTACCTAATGCTTGTCTTTTTCGGACAGTCGAATAGTTGCAATGTGAAGAGAGAATCCACAGCCCTTGGAACATTCAAATCTTACATTTTCAACACTCGAGGAGATTCTTCTTGATCTAGGCAAATATATTTGGAGTGGCGAATAAACATTAGAAATCCAAAGCATTCACAAACGTACCGAATATCCGTGATCACACGTTTCCCGGGTTCGTCAAGCTCGAGTGATTGCACAAACCCTGCTAAAGAGTTAACTAAGTCTGCAGTGGGACGATCGATGGGAATCACAGAAAGAGACGCCAAATGAGTTGGATGGAAGCCTTCATCAGGGCTGACAATGTTGTCGCCAATGTCGTCACTAGGAGGTGATTCAGGATGGATGGGTGGGACACCGAGAATAGTGCACGCAGGGACGGCTACTCAGCGAATTGGGGAGTTTTCTGGCATCAGAAATGATGCAGGGAGCGGTCCGAGCAGAACGGATAGAGTAATGGCAAATGTTATCATTATTTCTCGGTTCATCCATCGGTTGACTGTTTTGGCCCAAAGATGGAGACGGAGGGGGTTTCCGAATGACTGGGGGGTGCAAGTACTGTGGATGTCAGTTAGTTCATCTTTGTTTCGAAAGACAAGTCTGGACGATTCGCGCAATGAAGTATGGTAAGATTCGAGCCTGGACATTCTGTTATCTCGTTTCGCGGTGCTGATCTGCACCGGATGAGAATGAATCCCAAATCCAGTAACCTCCCATTGAAAAGGAGTTGTCCTGAATAGCTTCGCGGTGTAGTTGGCTTTGCATCCTTTTTCGTGGGAAAGGCAGCGGAAACGAATTCGTAACAAGAATTCGTTATTTTTTGAAAAGGCGATGATCACAGACACCTATGTAAACACCGGAGCTCACGGGACCGGCCAAGTAGTCTGGCACATCAACCATCTGACAGGCGTCAATTTTGCCATCGTCGGCGGCAAGCAGCTCTGCAGCAAAGATATCACATTTTTTGGAACTGAAGCGTGAGTCACGTGTTTACGTTCATCTTTTGAGTCACATGCAGTACTGTCAACCTCCTTGACTTCAATATCAGTGCCAGCAGCGACTTTCACGGTAGATCTAAGTTCAGAAATGTGGCGTGGAGGAAAATATGCACTCGAATCTGGCGATGATGGCTTCAGAGTGGCAAACACAGCCGGCAAAAAATCCACTTCACCTGTTTCGTCGATTTTCTGCGGCCCAGAGCATTGCACTTTTTGACAATTGTCGATATTAGCATTGGGTAGAGCAGTTTCATTCCTACCTTGCAGGACCATCATTTCCGCTTTTTAGACATAGAAGTCGGATGTGCTGATGATGCGGATTCGGCATCATCATCAACATTTACGACAACCCCCACAGTACAATGCGTTGGACAGTGCTTCCACTGGGACGATATGTACTCCCATTGCAAAGCATTCAGTGAGGCTGTTTTGTAATCAGCAATTCGCGCTGCCTCCAGAGCGACAATACTGTATCTTACCCCATCTATTGCAGACTGACAACAAGCTTGTCGGAAGCGTTCGGTTAGAGATGTCGCTGACCTTCTGCAGTAATCATCATCCGGAAGGATTCCGCGGTCCTACGCAAATCTAGAAACAGCAACAACAACATAGTAACCGCAGCTGTATGAGTCTTTTTGCTTCTGAAAGCCGAGCCCTGACTTGTGCAGCATAAAATTTAAAGTGCTTTGTCTGCAGTTCATAGCTGGAAATGCCTCTCTGAGCGCGCAGCGCAATAGATTGAGGCAATTTCCAGGGAATGTTCCAGCATTGAAGGGCAAACGCCCCAGCGAGTCGCCAAATGCCAGTGTTCCACAAACGGGGTGAGAGCTGGATATGGCATGCAATTTCAAAAAGTCTGCCATAAGAAGACCCCAATGACCATCACAGCAGATTGGGATCAAAATGATTACATTTAGTCCCGTCACACAACTAAAGCACTCCACAAGTGCATGTGCATGCATGCAGAAAGTATTTCAATGACTGAGTCACGCGCTTCATTCTGGAGGCAACCAATAATGGTACCTACAGACTCACGGCATAACACGACGCTTGTTGGAAGCCTCAGTTGAATAAGTCCATACATAAGCAACATTGTGTTGCATTTCTCGCCTTCCAAAATGTAATGGAACCAGTAATCTGCCCGATTGAGCTCATAGTCCTTTACAGAAAGTGCCCAAAACCGTCGAATTAAGCCCCGCTTCCGCTCATTGGAACTGGCGAGGAATGCTTCAAGTCGAGTGCGGATTGCGTTGAGGCCTGGCCTAGTTTGTGAGATTTCCGAGGAGATGTAATTCTTTGGCCGTTTGGAATTTAGGGAGGACATGGTTCAACGGGTTGAGATGATGGCGGGGAGAGCAAGGTTTCCTCGCTTTTGAGGGCCAGTCCGGTCCTAACAGGCGCTTTTCTTTTCTTTTGTTTTCCTTCAACCAGTTGCGGTCACGCTATTGGCCGGATCATTTCATTAAATTAATCGCACGCCACAACGAATGCTACACAGAACCACTGTAATGCTTGGTAATTCTGCGAACTGGTCGAAATCCATTGGCTAAAGGAAGTACCAATCCACACCCAGTCCATATGCACACTACTAAAATTCCATGGACTCGATGCGGTGCAGTGGCACTTGCAGTACAATGAAAGGGTGGAATTAAATCCAAATACGAGCACATGCAGATCAAAACATTAGTTCTCTCAACATTACAAACCAGACACAGTACCTTCTCCCGCCATTTTATGTGCACAACTCGGCCCTCCCCCGCCTCGACGCCCACGTGAAATTTGCGACAGTCGTTTGCTAGCATTTTACACTCTGTTTAGGAAACGGAGCACCACCGGACGGCAGAAGGGTATCCAGAGTTCAGCACCCAGAGTTCAGCTTTTTGAAATCAAATGCCTCCTTGGCATCGATCATGAAATGGAGAGAAGCCGGGGAGGCTGCTCTCTAGTTCATGATCGATGATGAAGTGGCTTCGCCGAAATCCCTTTCCTGTGAACCACCCCGCCCTCGCTCCCTCCCCCCCGCCACCAACCCCCCTTCCCCCCCAAATATGACCACGTCCCCTCCTCCCCGCCACCCCCCTTCCCCTCAATATCCCCACGTCCCCTCCCCGCCACCCCCCCTTCCCCCCCAAAATCCCCACGTCCCCTCCTCCCCGCCACCCCTACCTCGCGCCCGACCACCACGCCCCATCACCATCTTCCTCACCTCCTCAGTACCGTGACAAACACACATCCTCCGACATGCTATTGTCCCCGCCACCGCGTCATCCTCCTAACATCGACACCGACACAGTCTCTCCCCGCACCCTCCATCCCTTCCATATCTTTCGTTTCATATCTCAATCCAGCCCAGTTTTGGTCATGCACATCGAGGGACCTCATTATAGCAACACGTCGTCCAGCTTTTGCTTTTGTCGAGCTACAGGGAGTCAGACTGGGCCATGTGCATGCGCGAGGAGGCGTTGCTGTACCTTCCATGCTGCATGGATCTGCAGACCGTCCAGACTCTGTTCCATTTCCGAGGAGTGGAACTATGGGATGGCATTACAGTAAAAACTACAGCAATGTGCTTCCGATTTTAGTGAAGAACTCAATAAAAACGGGGCGAGGGAAAGGAAAAACGAGAGGAAAGTCCTTTGTTAGGACTGGCCCTGAATTTTCCCGCCTTTACGTCCTGCCAAGATGTGTTTTCATTTCTGAACTTCGAACTTTTTGAATTTCCCGCGCGGTGGGGATTGGTTGAAGCATTGCTGGAATGTGGGACCACGCTCTGTGATTGGCTGAGAGCAGAGTGTGGGACCAAGAGCTTTGATTGGCTGAAAAAGGTGGGACCGATGAATGGGGGCCAACCATCCCCCTACATGATTTACTACATGTAGAATGTGACCGCCCCATGTACTTGAAACGAAATCAGCTCTCCCTTGTAGCGATACAAGCTACACCGTGCTTCCCACGATGTCCGTTCTCCTCTCCTCCCTAGCCATCCTGTCCGTAGCTGCTGCCACCCCTACCTGCTCTAACAACCCGTCCTTCCATCGCTTCTCCTTTGGTGGCATCCAAGGAGTCGTTGTCTCGGATGGCCCTGCTTTATTCGATGTGAACCCTTTCTCCGTTCCTAACGCCGCTCTGAAACGAAATTATGATGCTTCTTTTCGCTCCAGTTCCCCACTCGTCATCCAACAGAACGTCGCTATTGTCGATATGCCAGCCGGACGCGTTCTAGTCGATGCGGGTTCCTTCAACATTCCGGAGTTCCCGCAGTTTGCCAACGCGGGAAGGCTTCTAGCAAACATGAGAGCCGCCGGCATCGCCCCAGAGAGCATCCAAGCAGTTGTTTTTACTCACGCTCACGCCGACCATGTCGCAGGTGTAATCACAGCGGATGGAAAGCGCGCCTTTCCGAACGCTCACGTGTACATCGATAAGGTGGATCACGAGTTTTGGACCCAATCAAATGTACCAAACCCCAAGCCGGCCATCATTCCAAACGCCACACTTGGTACGTAGCCTTCGACTCCTTCCCATTCGTATATCGATCAAGCATCGATCACGCATGACTTTGACTAACCTTTCGCGTCGAGTTGGTCCTCATTATCCTGCAACAGAGGCCGTGCGGGACATTTACTTGAGATCCATCAAGCCATACCGTGGTCGCCTAACACTGGTAGATGAAGACCGATCGCCTATTCGTGGTGTCAAGCTGATTTCCAGTCCCGGGCACAGCCCTGGCCATAGTTCTGTGCGATTCCAAGGAAAGGGCGAAGCTCTTCTCGTTTCTGGTGATTCTTGGATTACCAAGGTAAGTCATTCGCACCTTTTTTCTTTCTCTTCCTGTTCCTCCTTGCCCATCAAGACTCTAACATGTGATGTGGTTTCAACTCTTCACCTTTGTGCATATCTTCAAATCGGCGAAACGATGGACAGCCGGACCAGTTGGAAAATCCTGAATGGGAGTTTTTCATCGAGCTAGATGCTGCCCAGGCGTACAACTCGCGAATCCGTGTACTGTCAGCGGCGGCCAGGCGTCGAGAGCTCATGCTTTCGTACCACGAGGCTTTCCCGGGTCTCGGATATGTATCCGTTAACGGCGCGGCGTTCTCTTGGACACCGGCTCAAGCTCAAACAGAGCTGATGGGCACTGGCGTGGCGACGCAGTGTTGAGTCAGGGAGGAGCGGGATATCTTGCACGAGATGAGGGTCCAAGACGTACCATTTGCTCGAGAAGGGCGTGGTGGAGTGCTTCGAGTGGGGAAGTACTTTTGCGTACTGTGGGTGTAATCATATGCTACGAGCATGCAGAATCATCCATCATAATATCCTACATGAACGCTATCACTGACATGGAGATATGGAAGAAAGCATGAGCAAACTTCGTCACCTGACGGCCGGCATGTGAACGTGTAAAGATTTTTTTTTTTCTGTTCCGCGGGGACGGGAATATTTCCTTACCGAGGAGAGAGTTCAGCATGCCCATATAGCCTGGCCATGCAGTGCGGCCCGACTCATCACTCGCTGCTCCAATACCTTTGTCCATTCCACAATCTCAGTCGATGTAGGCAGTCCTCAAATCTGTACCGTATCATGACGCTCCAACAGCTGCTTTCGAAGCAGCAAGCTGTAAAAACAGTACGCATTGAAGGGCATAGAGGAGAGACTCTGCCTCTCGCCGCCGCGGCGTTTGCGACTTGTGCGGGCATGTAATGACGAACCGAGGCGGAACAGCAGCAAAGTTCTCAGAGGATTGCAAAGCAAGACAATTCGGCAACTCCATGCTTCGGCAGCAGCCAAGAAATGCAACAGTGTCCCACTCTGCAATTTTGATGTATCTCTATGGAACGGAATCGGACCGAACTGGCGGATGCAGTTCCCGGCATGTGAGTGATATTTGGGGTTTAAGAGCCCGCAGCCATCGAATTCTGTGCGAAAGGATTTATTTTCATTAAAAACAAACAGCTGACGAGCACCGTAGAAATTGATCACCATTTTTACGTTTCTGACGCAGCGGAGGGCATTAGTACGATGGAACCACTGTTATGCATAGTTGAGAACCGGTTTGGTGTAAGAGACTCTGTTGGCATATTTTCGAGGACGGATGGGCTTTCGTGGGCTCCATGTCCTTCAGTACCGTATAGCTTTTGCTTTCCATCTTTCACGTCGATCCATAGAACGAACCAAATTTGAGAGGCTAGTGAGCTTGATAGCGGAAATTAAGGCATCAGCTTGTTGCTTGTTTCACGGAGAGCACGGACACCCGTGTGGCAGATGCCTGCTTTTCAAAGATGGGTGGTGATCCACGGAATACGCTACCCAATTCTGCTTAACCGGTTTCAGATATTGTGTGCGACTTAGGCCATAAATGAAACACCTTTCCATGAAGAAGTTGCCATTTTATCCAGGAGTAGATCACTTTGAAATCCAGTCGTATCAGAAGAAACGTGGGTATTGTTTCATTGCGACGTTGTCAAATTACCCAGAAATGCCGAGTTTTCCATACAACACGCAAAGTTTCAGTAACGGTAGTGGGCAGAGCCCAGTCAGACGTTGAATTAGTGGGAACTGGTGGGCATTCAACGATAAACACAAACTGAATTCACACTTCTTGGTAAACACTTGCTCACTTGGTTCCTGAGTTCGTACTGGGGGGATTCAGAGTTCCAGATTTTTGTACGTCGTTCATGTGAACTGACATGACATACTGCCGACGTCTCGCTATTGCCTCTGCGAGGAAAAACAGAGCTATAGATGCATCAGTGGAACGGAGGCGCCTTCGAAGAGCACGGTCATAAATGTGGTACTCTTGACTCTCTCATGTAGAGTACTGACGTGACGCCGTGATTATATCTATGTCTCTTGTTTTTTCATGATAAAAGAACTGCTTTCGTCTCTCTCATCAAAATTCACTCTCCTCCGAGTTCCCGGCATTTGCACAAATTCTGTGTGTAATTTGCGCGGTAGTAAAGAGAGCACGTCGAGGAGTCGTTGAAAGACTACACGGGGTGGGTCACTAGCAGAAGGTGTTGAATTCCACATCTTTATCCCCTATTGATATTTCATTGCTTGCTGGGAACTCAACCTCTCCCGAGCCTATGTATACACGGCTACTCGACGGCTCTCTAAACAATCGCACATGCTCAAACCATCCTTACAAACTTTCTGAACATGGCTCGTGACTTAGCGATTGGAGTTGCAATTTTACAGTTCTTTATCGTACTGACATTGTTCAAGGCTGCAAAGGCTTCCGAGGAGGAAAGTCTCTCATTTCGATACCTTGAAGACGCTCTTCAATACACTAGCGAAGCGGAGGGGAACAAAACAGAACTGGAGGCCTATCGAAACGCCGTGGCTTTGGAAAAGGACACATCTCATCCAGAATTGGCCAATTGCCTTCAAAAAGTTGACGAAGAGTTGGACAAAGCTGTGGAATCGGTACAATCCGCAACCGAACACCGTGACAATGCTCAGGCTGAGCATATTAAATGTCAAGCGGCAGTTGTTGCTGCTGATCTCGATAAGGCCAAGAAGGCAAGAGAAGAGGTGAAAAATGGAGCTGAAAAATGTAAAAAAGGAGCACAGGACGCCGCTAAGGCCCTGGCAGCGGCGCACTCAAAGTACTTCGAAGTCAATAAAGCTGCAGGATATGCCAACAAGGCTGCTCAAGAGTATCGTAAGATGAAATCTGAATATGACTTGGCTATCACTGAAGGCGAAGAGCTGGCAACCATGTATGAAATCGCTCAGACCGAGGCTTCTGAACATAATGATGGGCCTGAATTTGCATCCAAGGTACGAAAGGAAAAGGACGATGTGGACATCCATATACCCACAGCGCATCAAGGAATGGCGACAGCCGAGCTTGAAAATCAAAAGGCCCAGGAAGGCGGAGAAGCCTGGGATGAATCCAAGGCGGATTCAGGAAGCAAAGGCACTCAAGATGCATGCAAGGACACTGAGGAGGCAATTAAGAAAGTTAGGGAGGCATGTAAGAAGGGCAGGACGATATACTACGAGCGCAAAAGGGAGCAGCAAGCCGAAATGGAAAAGAAGCTCGAAGAGATAATGAAGTTGCGCGAAGAGCTCATGAACTCGATTAATTCTTTGATTGAAGAATCGATCGACGATTCAACAGTTCAAAGCTTTCACGATGTGATGGAGACTTTGCTTGTCAAGATCGACTCAAACTTGAAGGTTAGGATGCCGAAGAAGAGTGGTTGGAATGAAGACGGAACCCAGGAGACTTCGGATGACTCGAGTGAATTATCTCTCGCTGAGTTTATACAAAACATATTCAGGCCAATTCCCGAGGAGTGGAACGGATCGATTTACAACCCAACCACAAATTCCTGCGTGACGACACTTCAAGCTTTCCGAAATGTGTACTACAAGCAGATAGAGATGCTGCAACGGGGTCTGCCGACACCCTTACTCCGGTTCCAGTTTTCAAAGCCTTTTGCACAGGTCTCCAGTGTGGATGACCAGACATGCATTCCTCATGAGGTTGTGGAAAAGCATTTCACAGCGGATTGGTTCCTGAAGGACACCTTGATGTACGGAGGACTGCTGGAAGTAAATCCTCTTCAACAAACAAACGGGATCGATTTTCCTTTCTTAAGTTTTCTATCGGTGCAGACGAGTGAGCTCCCCAACCCCAGCGACGGCGATATGAGAAAGATTGATAAGCTGTGGGACGAAACAGTTCAAGCGAAACAGGCTCTTGGAGGAGATCTATCCACACCGGCACATGTTCATTTTTCGAGGGCTATTGATTTACTGCACGATCCGAACAAGACAGATGCATGTACTGACTACGAGAAATTTGGTCGCCTAAATGGCCGAGATACGCTAGACGCTCGTCAAGCCGTGATTCTTCTCTTGTCCTCTGCACTTCGTACCATTGCGATGGGAGGGTCGAAGTCGAGCGTTGCTCAAATGCTTGCCAATCTTTCTGCATTCATTTTCAATGGAGTTCGATGCAAGAGAAAGGAAGGAAGACATATCCGAATCCCCGCTGAGCTCATGAAAGCATATTCTACCAACATAGCAAGAATAATTGGAGAGATTACAAATCTCCAGCCTGATCCCATGATTTCTTCCGACGCTGTAGAGGCAGTCTATGCCACTGAGATTGATGCGATGACGTCATTCGATACATGGGGCAACTATTACTTCCACGGCATTTACCCGGACGGACACTACGATCATTCATCCTTCATCGAAGCACTCTACATGAACGGAAATCACATTTCGGTGGTTTCATTATCGAGAAGCCTCATTCAAGAGTCAAGGTCATCCGAATCTGTCGTCCTCTCTAACCCGGCGGACAAGTCCGGAACGTGCGGACAACAATTCAAGTATGAGCCGAATGTAATCGTTGACTCCAACTTAATGCAGTCTTGCTGCGCTTGTACTTGTGATCTGATCAACCTTATGGATGATTGCTACGATCTGTACTTGATTTGCTGCGACCGGTGCAATGAATATTCTTGCTTAGCTACCACGTTGGACGAGATGGCAGATCTTCCTGAATTCACCGTTATCGTTCCTGAGTATGGGGAACGTCATCCTTTCGCTGTGCCCATAATGCTTTGAGGCGTGTGGCATCATTGCGGGCAGAAGTAACATGCTTTTCAGAAAGAGGCCGACGACCTTGGACGTGATCTAGAGAAACAGAATCCTCATGCTGCAATTATGGACATAAACCAGTGGCTGCGGTGGACAAGCCCCTCAAAACCAAAGACAAAAGAAGATAAGCAGTTTTTTTTCATCCAACGGTGCAAAGCTCAAATAACTAACATAGATTTGTAGGCGCACTTAAGCTCGTTGGATAATGAACCATTAAAATCAAAACGAGAAACGACACAACGCCTTCTCCACATTGGTCTTAACGATTGCTCACAACGAGAAGAAAAGAGGATAGCAGCTTCCCACTTTGCGCTCAGCTTTCTGCGGAAGTACACGCGCATGAATGAGTGGAGAAAAGCATGTACAGTACGTACCATGCAAACGCCTTCTCCAGGCCCGAATCGTTCAGAGTCCTGAGTAAAAGACGTAAGGACTGGTCAGGCCCACAACTTGTTCTTGCTTTGATATGGGACTATCTGTTTGTTTTAGGGAGTTAATTTTTTATGGGAAATATCACGATTCGTTGGCGAACTCGTGCCGTTTGGCTTTATCAGTAGGCTAATTTCGGAAAAGTAGAAAAGTAGCAGTGTAGCGTTTTTGTATCCGCTACCGATGGCACTGTAGACAGGATCATGTCGGCCCTTCAGCAGAACTGTTCTTCCTTGGAATACTCGCACAACGGAAAGTTGCTCTACATTGGAAGCAGGGGAAATGAAAGAGCCAATACACCAACAAACCATTTCCAGTGGGCTCTTGAAAATGGTCAGTCTACAGTAAAAATACGAGCCTTCTACGTGAAAGAAACGACTGCAACGGTGGTCCCAGGGAAAGCCAATCGCGGATCTGCGCCTTAGCAAAGTACTTGAAAGCAACGGCCACTTCGAAACCGGAAGAAACAACCCCGGAGAGCGACACTGTGATGTGAATTGTTTGCGCATGTTGAGAACCAGATAACAGGAGGATGCTAGGTGCTAAAGGGCGGCGGCGGACGGCTTAAAACCGTCACAAAACTGATGAAAGTAAGCACTGTAGAAAGGTCGCTTCTCAAACACGCCCACAATTTTGGGTTGCAGGTCCGACCTAACCCCTGAGGGGTAGAACGGCGAGCATCGCGGGGCAAAACTCCGTGTACAGCGAACACAAAACCTGCGTGCAAGAGCAGATGACCGGCACGCACACTTGTTTCAAAGCTTTGATCAAAACGGACAGCACGGCGGTCAGCTAGCGGTCAAGCCGTCGACGCGAGCTCTCCATCTAAACATTCGGATCCACCAGGAGGCGGAAGGATCTTTTGCAAAGCTTTGCGATTCGGTCATGGAGTTATCGACACGGTCACCGCCCATTCTAAGAATTTCGATCAACTCATCCATGGAGGAAAGTAGGGGCCTTCTGGTGGTCTCAATCGGTAGTAGAATTACGCCGAAGACGGCGAGAGCTGAAGTGGCAAAGTAGATCCACATCGCCGCCGCATGATGGTTGTTGACGAGATACTGCGATACAAACGGCGTGGTGATCAAACCGATACGAGCCATGGACGAAGCCAAGCCCATGGCCGTAGTGCGCACAATGGCGGGATAAACCTCATTTGTGTAGATGTAGATGGTCTGGAAGACGCCCGAACTGAGGCCGCGCGCTATGAAAAACACGAGAGCTTCTGCACCCCTTCCGAGACAAGCGAGGAGCAGCACAAAGCCAATACTCACGCCACCAAGCATGTATCCCAACACCGGGCGACGGCCGATTGTATCGATGGTGGCGAAAGCGATAAGCAGGCCTGGCATCTCACCGACGCTTGCTCCGAGCGTGGCCCTAAAATCAGCCTGGGACAGCTGGTTGGTGCACGGCGAGTCGACGGCTTCCGGCACGTCAGCACGGGCTACACGGGCGATGGACGGGATGCCGCACATGCCCGTGCCGGCGGTGGCCGGCTTCCACGAGCAAATCTCGTTCGTGGCGCACCTCTCTTGCGTGGGCAAAGCGGCGCACTCACGCTGGGCGTAGTGGCAGCGCTTGCCCGAGTTCTCGTTGATCATGAGCTCCGGTTGCAACGTGATCAAGCCGTAGTAAATGAAGGCGCTGACAAACCAAATGAACCAAATCTTAGTGACGAGGGACCTCGCGCCCCTGCGCCACAGCTCGCCGGTCTGCCCGAAGCGGCTCGGCGTGCGGCGGAGCTCCTCGTGTACGAGGTCAGGAATTTCGAGGCGGCCGGGCGGGAGTGGGCGGTTGTTGCGGGTGGCGACAAGGTCGACGGCGGCCTGGGCACGGTCGACGTGCCCCTTGGAGATAAGCCAGCGCGGGGACTCTGTGAGCCAGTACGAACACAGCAGGACGAGGAAGAGCGGGATGGAGGAGATGACGATGAGCCAGCGCCAGCCCAGGTTGGGGATGACGTACATGGCGACTGCGCTCTCGAAGATGGCGCCGACGGACCAGAAGAGGGCGATGCCCATGCCCCACGTGCCGCGGTGCTCGACGGGGAGGAACTCCATCATGAGGCTGAACGACACCGGCACGCCGCCGATGCCGAAGCCCGTGAGGCCGCGCGAGACAACTAGCATGGCGTGGTTGACCGAGAAGGCCGACAGGACGCCGAACACGGCCGTGAAGACGGTGGACGCGATGAAGCCCACGCGGCGGCCGTACCGGTCGCCGATGAGCCCCCAGGACGTGGCGCCCAGCAGCATGCCGATGCCGACGGACGTGGTGATCATCGCTGCCTGCGGGTCTGTGATATGCCACTGGCACTGCAGCGGGGCCTTGATGAAGGAGAGGAGGAGCATCTCCATGGACTCCGCCGTCCAGCACAGGCCCGTCATGGCGAGGAGCCCGTACTGGAAGTTGCCGACGCCGATGTGCGAGATGGCTTCCTCGACGGTGTAGGATTGCTGCGAGGAGAAGAGGGGCGGGTCCTCCTCCACGGCAGAGGCGAGACGCTCATAGTTTGGGATGCGGGCGGTGGAGGGGTCGGCCGTGCCCGTCATGGTGCGCGCGGCGCGGGTGGAGGGGCGGGCGGCTCGGGGGAGACGGGGGCGGGAGTATGGAGTTAGCAGTCAGGGAAAAGCGTCAACGGGTGCGCTGAGGTGTTTCTTAACAAGGGAGTATGGAGTTAGCAGTCAGGGAAAAGCGTCAACGGGTGCGCTGAGGTGTTTCTTAACGAACGGGTGACGGAGGAAGGAGAGGGGCGGCATGGTTGCCAATTCAATCGGTTCCCAGAGAACATTACAGCGAACCGAGAGGAGAGTTTCTACGTTGTCATTACACATGTATTATGTGGACACGTGTTAAACGGGTATGACGAATATCCACGTGGCCACGTGGCAAAACGGTTGGTACACGTATTTCATACACGTGTGGCATGTCTCCACTGTGCATCGCGGATCTCTGTGTCTCTTCGGGCGACCATTCCTCATCACGAAAGCTATGTAGCAAGGAGAGGAGCCCTTCCCTCCCTACCCCGCCCCGCTTTCCCTTCATCTCTCGCCAAACCACCATGGCCATCCACGCCACGCCCCCGTCCTCCCCGACCACGCCGCCGACCCCGCCGCCGACCCGGTCCCCCTTCTTCATCCGCACCCTCATCCCCTCCTCGGCCTCCCCGATCACGCTAACATGCCCCTTCCTCCCCCCTTCCTCCCAGCTCATCACGGCCACGGCCACGGCCCTCACCATCTCCACGGTCGACCCGCGCACGGCCTCACTCACCCCTCTCTGCGTCCACCCGCTCCCGGCCGCCCCCCGCGCTCTGGCTTGCCTGCCCTCGCCGACCCCCGCTATCCTGCTCGTCCTCTCCGCCTCCGCGCACCTCTCCTTCTTCCGCTTCAACGCTCACCGCTCGCGCCTGCAGCTGGTCGGCACCACCGCGCTGCACCCAGCTTCCCCGCCCGCGGCGCCGGACGCCCACTTGGTCGCCATCCACCCGACTAAGCGCCTCATCGCCCACGCCTTGCTCTCCTCGCACATCTCCTTCCTGCCCCTCCTCTTCCTCGCCGAGGGCGTCTCCGTAGGCAAGGCCATCCATCACCGCGTGCCCGGCGTCGTCCTCGCCATCGACTTCCTCGAGGACGACGGCCACACGGCCGCCTTCGTCGCCCTCATCCAGCGCCACGACGGCCAGCAGATCGACCTGTTTACTGTCACGTACGAGCCGTCGGCCACCATCTCTGTCACGCGCGCGCCCTCCATGCAGAACTGCGCCTCCTTCCTCCCCTCGCGCCGCTTCGCCCCCGCTCTGCCGCGCCGCGCCGCCTCCATCACGCGCATCCCGCGCCGCCCGTACATGTTCGCCATCCACCTCACGGGGCACGTCGTGGTTGCCGACGCGCGCCCCATTGTCGACTCGGGCCTGCACACCGCGAAGCACACCCACGCCTCCTCCACCATCACCTTCACCAAGGCCCCGCTCCCGCCGTCCCCGGTCTACCTCCCACCGAGCTCGCGCCGCGCCGCCGCCTCCGCGCCGCCGACCGCCGCCGCCGCCGCCGTCGCGGCCATGGCCGACCACACCATGTACGGCTGGCACTACGCTGACGGCTGGCGCCCCGCGCGCAGCGGCCCGCCGGCCACTCCGCGCCCGCGACCCCCGGGCATGCCGCCTTCAACCGACCCCGCCCAGCTCGCCAACAGCTTCCTCGTCGCCCCGCCGCACCTCATCCTGCCCTTCGGCGTCTCCAACGGACTCGCGTGCGCGTGCGTCGACGCCGGTGCGCACTTTCGAGGCATCGTGGACCGCGAGGACGGCGCGGCGGTCTACTTTGCGACGCAAAGCGGCGCGCTCTTCGTGCTGCGCGCCGGCGAAGGGCACCAGCCCGGCGTCACGTCCGCCGTCATCCCGGACATGCCACCGCCGGGGCCAGGCTACGACCCGTCGCGTCATACATACTATGTCGAGTATATTGGCGATGTCGGCCCGGCGTTCGCGCTCGCGGCCCTGGATGACCGACTGCTTTTCGTGGCGAATGACGGCGCGGATGGGTCACTGCGAAGGCTGCATGTGCCCGCCGTTGATGAGGCCGCGAGACTGGCCCGCGGTCAGCACCAGGCCGACGTGTTGGCGCCGGGAGATCTTGCCGCGGCGCAGCCAAGACGGTATGGGCTGGAGGTGCGGCAAGAATTTTTGAACCTTGCCCCGATCTCAGATTTTGTCATCGTCCCGCCAGTGAAGCGGCGCGTGAAGCAGGGGAAGAGAAGGTATCGGAAGTGCGATAGGTCGGCTGGGGCGGGTCATGAATTTGCGGTTGAGGATCGTGACGTCGACATGGAGGACGAGGTTGTTCCTCTTCGCCTCGACCTTACGGCCGACCCGGAGCGTGTAGAGCGAGAGAGAGCCCTTCGGGAACAGGCCGACCAGACGTCAGCATACGCTTACACTTTGTATGGCGGACCTCACGAAAGCGAGATGATTACTTGCTCGGGCTTGGGGAAACATGGGAGTATCCGGATGATTCGTCCCGGTGCACCCGTGACGATCTTTGCGTCAAGTGGCAACACGTTCCCGGCTTGTAATGACATTTGGCCGATTCGATTCACAAAGGATGCGAAGCACGACGCTGGGCTGCTGTTGACGTTTGCTGCATCCACTGGCATTTTATACTCGGTTCCCACGTCCATATCAGAACAGAGGCGGCAGCCAGATGGTCTCCCCGCGATCGCCAAGCTGGTGAGCGGGGCTCACGCGACGAGTGCTCGTTCAGATGTCAGAACGATTGCCGTAGGAGCTCTCGAGGACGGGATTTTGGCACAGGTACATGAAAACGGTGTCCGGGTCATGTACATGAAATCGATCGATGAGGTACCTTTACAGTTGCAGAGTGCAGTTGTGAACGGGGAACTGACCGGCTCAATTTGCAAACGTGCTATGGATTGGGAGCCACCAGACGACGGAGTGATTTCAGTTGGAGCGATTGGGGAAGGGTTTGCGTTGGTTTGCGTGGTGAGAAAAGGGCTGCAAAGACCGCTCCTTTGTTTACTGAAACTGTACCCTGGGGATTTCAGCAAAGGGGTTTTCGTTGTGGCTTCGGAAGTCTTGGAACATGAGCTTAGCTGTATCGAAATTCCCGAGTGGACGAACACGACGGCGCGTCACGAATTTACGTGTAGGCCAAACCTGCCGCCAATAGCGTTCTTGGGCACGTATATACCATCAATAGAGGTGCGTCTGTTAACTTCAAACTTGGAGACTGTGGATCGGAAAGCAACGTACCCTTGGACATTGCAGGGGGAATCTGGTTCGGATGGCGTAGACGGTTTGAGAAGTGAATTTGAGGAGCTGTCAAGTCCGGCAAGGTCTGTCGATGAGGTTAGAGGCAACTCGAGAAGTTCAGGTGGATCTCCACAGCCTGGTCCTTCACGCAGCACGGCGGTTCCAGAGAGTTTCTGTTCCCTTGAAATGGACGGGAGAAAGCTCATTTTCGCGGGTTTGCGAGACGGTTCGGCTATGTGTCTCTCATTCACGCCAAGGGATAGTTCGCACCACATGGCCATTGGGTCTCCCTTTTGGTGGCGGTTAACAGTTGACTCACATCGTAAGCTTGGACATCGACCAGTTGTTGTCAGGAGCTTCATAGCAGCCGTTGGTCCGGTTGTCATTGGCCAAACGGAGAGACCGTGGGCGTGTGCAAGCTTTGGCGTAGGGAGGCTCAAATGGATCCCTCTCGCGTTTCCAGAGTCACAGGCGGTGTGCGGGTACTCTGTCCCCGGCGCAGAGCGATGTTTTGCCATGGTCGGAGACGATGACGCGCTACATATATGTGGGCTAAGGCGACGAAGCGAAGTATCTGTGCGGTCAATTCACGTTGGGGCAACGCCACGTCGTATTGTGGCACTCTCACGTCCCGAGAACTCTGTGCTAGTGGCTGCGACCAGGCCCACGTTAGAGGGAGAGGACCCCTCGGGTCTGCGGACAGAGTACTTGGGTGAGGAGACGCCATTAGATCGGGATATATACTGTGAGCTCCGTATCTACAACACAAGGTTGCGCGTGCAGACCGGATGCCTGACTTTGTTGCCAAACGAGCAAGTACACCTGATGTTCAACTGGCTCAAGTACGTTGTCATCGGTACATCTTTTGAGATTCAAGCGGAGAAGGGGAACAGTGTTGGGAAACTATGCGAAGCTGGTCGCCTCCTGCTATGCACAGTGGATACAAAGAAAAAAGGCGAAGCGGGCTCTTCATCTGCAGCAACAGGGGCCGCAAAACTAGTTGTGTGCAGTGAGATTGTTCTTCCTGGTGCCGTACTAGCTGGGGCGGGTCATACACATGCGAGGACGTTTCTGGTTTCGTGCAACGATGAAGTGATTGTGTTTGGGGTATGCAGGTCGAAGAAGATACTGCTTGAAATTGGGAGGTCGACTTTGCGATCCCTGGTTGTGAGCATATCGATTTGTGAGGATTTGATCTGCGTAGTGGATCGGCATGACTCTGTTGGATTCTTTTGGTTTGACTGCGAATCGGGAAAGCTAGTGCGGGACCGGTGCGACCATCGACGACGGATAGTTTCGGACGCAGTGATGGTAGACTGCAAGCTTGCGGTCGGGGTGGACCGGCGTGGAGGTATATTCTCGGTCGGGTATGACGACGGAGACGGACCGGATGATAGCAGGACTGATTGGATCGACGTAGTCAACCTTATCGACGAGAGGGTTGCCACGTTGGCGGCCGAAGAGAGGATTAATGGAACAGGGCTGGAGGGGGAAGTTTTGAATCAGGCCCAGGCTTCGTCGTCAACAGCTGTTAGACATAGCGACTCTGATGGGAGTAGCAGCGAAAGCAGTGGAGACGTGGGCGTGGACGCAGCGGAGGATGTTGTGGGCGGAGAAGAGAGTGGGATGAACGTGGAAGATGTTGGATCAGATGGTGAGGCCGAGACGAATAGTACGGGTACGGGCACGGGCACGGGCACTGAGACGACGACGGCAGAGGCTGGGACGAACACCGAAGGCGGAGGGGGAGGAGGTGAGGCGGTGGAGATGGTGCAAGCAAAC